GCTGCCCGGGCTACTGTGCAGTCTATGCACTCCTAAATCTCTAGGAATGGTCAGATGTGCTCTGTCCCATTGAAATCACCCCACATGTTGTTTACGTTGGCTGCCCGGGTCTCACGAGTACATTTCTCCTCCATTCCCCACCACATCCCCATTTCCAGTGTATGCTCTGGAAGTGGGATGTCCCAGGGACCGCGTGGGGCAATCCCTACCTCGTTGTCATGCAAGATATCATGCACCAGGCGGACGTGGGCATCATGAGCCACATTGTGGCTGTCGTGCGCAAGATGAAGAAGCGGCGTATGAAGCAGATGGACAGGTCAGTGTTTTGGGGGTTGGATTCGTTGCTCTTGGTCACATATACTCAAAGCATACCTACTTTGCTCTTACAGACATGTGGTACCGCACATGGTGTTGGTTCGTCGCCGCACACGGTGTCTGCCACCACTAGCGGCCCGGGCCCAGGGGAGGTGGGGGGGGGCGTTGCGCTGTTGGCTCCCATCCTACCGACTGCGGCGACATCGGTGCCGCCCCCGGACGTCTAGGTGGTTCCTTATCCTGCGCCACTCGCTGCTGCTCCCCTGGCTCAGCGTCAGCCGTCTCCGAGCCGCCGGCAGCATCGGCCTCACTCCCCTGCGCTACGTGACGAGCGAGAGACGACGCGGCGGCGACACGATTCTCCTCGGCGCCGTGGGTCCCAGGCGAACTGGGCTGCATCCCGTGGCGATTGTGGTGGCTGGTGGGGGGTGCGCGGTCATGGTGGCGGCTGGGCATATGATCAGCCAGTAACGATGGCTGATCTACAGCGTGTTGTTTCTGATGCGATGCGATAGGAGCGAAACGGGTAGACGAGCCAGAGCAACTCGCCGCGCATCGCTCCTCCTCCTCCTGCTCCCTCTGCATCTGCTGCTGCTCATGGGAACCGTATGCGCCTACCGTGGGTTCCTCCTGTGGCGGGTATGGAGTTCGTGACCGCGACAAGAGGACCGGTGACGGCGCAGTATCCATCTCTACTACCCGTGGCTCCTTCTCCTCCGGCTGCAACGGTGCCGGTACAGCCGCTGGTGGGGCCATCTCCTTCAGCCGTGGTGCCGGAGGCATCTCTGGGGCAGCTATGGCGCCTCTCAAAGGGTCTGCAGGCTGTGCACCTGATTCAGGTGTATGGTCATGCGGCTCTCTCCCAGGGTGTTCCTCTAGACGGTGGCCCTCGGGACGAGTGCCTGTATGCCGCTGATTGGCTGGCCGAGCTCCTGACGCCCATATTGGCTGCGCCCGCGCGGGGTGGAGTTGCGACGTTGGACAGCTTGGGATGGCAGTCCGTGGTCTGCGCCGGTTTTTGCGCGCAGGGACTGCAGTCGACTTGATCGGCGCAACCACAGTGATGGTGCAAGAGCTTCATCGCTCTCTGACGGGTCTTCTTGCCGTCCTTGACGCGGATCAGATGTAGCGTGCGCCTCATCCTGCGCGATGTTGTTGCGGTGTGTTGTCCTAGACAGGTGTAGGTGATGTCATTGCGTGTATGTCTTGGAATATAGTTGCCTGCCCCTTTCTCCCTTGCCGTCCCCTCACGCGCGGCCGAAGGCCGCGCCGTCGAGAGTCGGCCACCGAAGGCGGCCGCCCGAGGAAAATTTCTGCCACCAAACAGAATAATGAAGAGAAGAGGCCGTGAGAGGCCTCTTATATAGCTCAAGGAAGAGGGCAGAGGGCTAAAGGAGAGGGAAGAGGCTAGTACCCTCTCTCTCTCTCTCTTGCTCTCTCTCGAATAAACAGCAGAAAATTTCTGCCACCAAACAGAACAATGAAGAGAAGAGGCCATTAGAGGCCTCTTATATAGCTCAAGGAAGAGGGCAGAGGGCTAAAGGAGAGGGCAGAGGCTAATACCCTCTCTCTCTCTCTCTCTCTCTCTCTCTCTCTCTCTCTCTCTCTCTCTCTCTCTCTCTCTAATGGTCCGTGTATTAATAGACCAGGAGGGTACAAACATGCAAGGTAAAGCAAGTTCTGAAATGCAAACAACAAGTCTATCACACCAGCACTATCCCCTAGATCTCGAGTAGGGGCTCAATTACTGCGAAGTAGTCTCCCAGATACAATTCTGCCCCAATCCCTCCCACGGGTGGGTTCTCAGCAGCCGCCGCCTCGCTCGACTTCAGCAGGTAACCAACCGATTGGGCCCTCTGCAATGCAACCGACCACCTCTGTCGGAACTGGTGCAGGAATTTGGCGGCTTGGAAGGATTTTGAGTCAGCGTTGAAGCATCGCCGAGCCGCCGTGTCCGCTAGTAGCTTGAGGAAGACCGGAACTTCAGCACATGGGCATCCGTAAGTTTCTACAGACAAGGGGAAGAACCCCACGGTCTCTGGTCGATTAGCGTAGTGCTTGATCTTCTTGTTGGCCTGCTCCCTGGCCGCCCATCCCCTGCCTTTCGTTGCCTCGGGATCCCTTGTGCTGATGGGATCTGTGATTGTAACGTTACACACCCAGACCGCCCCGCTGCTATGGTCACTCATGGTGAAGTCCGCTGTTTGTTCCTCGATCAGGCAGAAGGCTGCTGACTCGTTGTGGACAATGAACTCCGCGTCTGCTTATTTTCTCTGCTTCTTCCTTTCGGTTGATTTTCTTTCACCGTATTCGCTCTTTATCTCTTCTACACGTTCCTTTCTTCGTCTTGTATGTCAGAATCACGAACGAGAATGAATGAACTATAAAACATTTGAGTACAAGTACTAACCCTAATTGGTTTGTACCCCTTATGGGCTACCCCACTATAGACTACACAAATGTAACCACTATCACATTCTGACACACCCCCATAGGCAAAGTGGGGGAGAACAAGTGGTCACAAGACCAGTCAAGAAAAGCAAAGCAAGCTCAGGGTGGATCACAAAGTCACCACACAGTCCGAGCACAAGCAAAGGGCCACAAGGCCAGCTCACATGCACAGTTATATAAAAGAGAACAAACAATTCAGTGAACATACCCTAGCAAGTGTAAGCATGCAGGTATATATATAGATCACAGTACAAGCAGAGTCAAGCAGCGAGCAAGTGAGGCAAAGTAGGCACAAGGCCTAACACAGTAGAGAAGCGCTGATGATCACCAGGCGGAAGTGCCTTGGTGAATATATCAGCAATGTTGGCCCTAGTGGCCACGTACGCAAGACGAAGCTGGCCACGCTGCTGCAAATCTCGAGCAAGGAAGTATCGCAGAGCGATGTGCTTGGTTCTTTGCTCCAGTCTGTGCTCTTGACACAAGGCAATCATGGCCTTGTTGTCTACGTACAGAACTGGAGGCGAACGAGGCTGCTCTCCCAAGTCATTCAGCAAGTAGGTGAGCCAGCGTAGCTCCTGTGCAGCCATGGCCCCGGCGTTGATCTCAGCCTCACAACTGGAGCTGAGAACCGAAGACGAGCGGGTAGACCGCCACGACACAGTGCCAGAACCAAGACTGAGGTGTAACCCTGTGACGACCGCTGCGTAGCTGAGTCGTTAACCCAGGAGGCGACTGCGTGACCGGTGAGAACAACTGGACCCCGTCCTCCAAGCACGAGCCCCATGCCCGACGTACTGCACAGGTAACGCAGTACCCTCTTCGCAGCATCCCAGTGCACCTTTCGGTGCCTACCGGGAGGCACGTAGCGAGCGAGGAGGCTGAGAGGGTACGCGAGGTCAGGTCGAGTGCAAGTCATCAGGTACATGAGGCAACCCACAAGCTCTGGGTACTGACCACTCGGCTCTACGGACTCGTTCGAAGGTGGAGCTGAGAGCGAGTGGCTGGTAGACAGAGTGGGCTGTGGCGAGGAGAACTGGAAGCCGAAGCGCTGAAGGACCTGGTGCACCATGTGTGATTGAGTCGGTGTGATGGTGCGCCGTTCTCTGTCTCGGATGATCTGCAAGCCAAGATGGCTGCGCAGTTCACCGAGGTCAGTGCAGGTGTGTCTCTTCTGCAGCTCGGACTTCACAAGGGTCAGTGCCTCAGTGTCAGCAGTGGCAAAGACGAGGTCGTCGACGTACACGAGGACGTAGAACGGCGGCAGCAAGGTGTCAGTGCGTAGAAACAGCGACGGGTCAGCAGTAGAAGGAGCCTGCTCCCACTCCGTTCGGGCATCGCTTAAGTATTTCGCGAAGGTCGTCAGGGGTCCCTCTCAGCGCCGAGAGGGTGTAGCCAGTAACGTAGGGCGAGGTGGGCAAGGCAGCATCGGGGTGTTTCGCCTGCAGTGCAGTGAGTGTCGTCGGTGTGGCCTTGGCGAGTGGGGTCGTCCGTAACGCTGCGACCGCCTTCGAGATGTTACCCTTCTTCATCAAACCCTCAGCTCTAGCACAAAGTCCAGCCTCATCCGCTTGGTGTCATGTCGGATTGTCTATGTCGGTGATGACTTTTGCCTCTTCGAAGAGTTCCCCCCATCTGCCCTGCTGGAACTGGTATAGCCTACCCTCGATCCCCGTCCATCGGCTTCCTTCCACTGGTTCGGGAAGTGGTCGAAGGGTCAGCCTCGGGAGGAATTGCAGGATCGCCCACGCACCCGGGCAATTGGGGTGTTTTGCTAGGCGCAGGAGTGGTGCCAGGATACAGAGGGTGTAACTCTCCAGAATTTTGGGGGGCATTCTTCGAACCAAAAAAGGTTGGTCCCCTCGCTGCAGAGGTGCCAATTCCCACGTTCTTGCCAGCTGCCAGATGGCATCGTTGGCTACCAGATCGGCCGGCGACTGCACCTTTGGTTCTCTTGAATCTCTCTGGCTCATACCCGCTGCTGCTCCTGTCTCTCCTCCCTCCTGAGGGTTTTCCTCCTGGTGGTTTTTTATCCTGAGGGTTTTGCCCTCTCTTAAATCTTCCTCGGACTCTTCTCGTCACGTCTCCCTCCTCAAGCGAGATCGTCTCTGAGGCTTGCGATGCTTCAGCTACATAGTCGTCCCCGTCATCATTGTTGTCAGATTCCCTCCCCTCCCGATTCATCGGTGGCGCCTCTTGTTCTGGGCGTTCGTGGCGTTCCCGCCACGTTCCAGATCTCACCAGTGCCTCTCTTCCCCTGACGGTTGCGCCTCCGCCCCGTCTTCCGCCCCGTCCCCCACGATCTCCGCCTCGGGCCCCGCGGGACATCCCTCCACCTCTTCCCTGGGGCTCATTGATCCGCCCGTTTTCCCCCGCTTGCGGCGTTCTCCCCGTCGGGATCCATGGTGAGTATGGCCGTCTAGTTAGGCCTCCCCGTGGCTGGCCCCAGGTGATGCCTCGTGCTCGTGTGGAGCTCCGCGTTTCACGCTGGGGTTCTTGTTGTATCACCACGTCCGGCGGAATGTTTCCCGCCCCGTCGCTTAGAATCCCCGCATGTCTGGCGCCGGTTTCCCCTTCGTTTCTCCCGCTGCCTGACCCCACAGATGGCGGTTGACGCAACTGCGATTGTGGCGGCTGTCCTTGCAGAAGCCAGCCCAGGAGGGGTCCCGGGTGGCCCGGGACAAGCCCTGCACCGGGCCGCCTCTGCGCTGGCTGGGCGCGGAACTTCTTCCTGCCCTTCCCGAGAGTGGCGTGCGCAGCAACGCCGTTCCTACGCCCCCGTGTATCGCCCGCCACCTGGTTGCACCCCTGCGTGTCTGTGCCCACGGCGGCAGCAGGCGTTTCGGCGGACCCAGCGCCAACCATTGCGCCTCCCTCGACTGGGCCTACGTCCGCTCCCACTGCAGCATCCGTCATCACCACTGTCTGTGCCCGTGGAGCGGGCACCGTCTCCTCCGTTGCCTCCGTTGCACGTTCCTGCTCCTCTACCCGTCCATGTATTTCAGGAAGTAGCGTCACAGTGGGGCCCGTCGCACGGTGTGAGGCTGAGTCGCCGCCAGAGGCAGCCGCAGTCTCGGCAGCTAACTCCCCTTCCGCCTCCCACCCTGTTGCAGCCCCTCCATATGTCGCCACCTCCGCTGCCTCCGTCATCGCCTTCATTCGTCCAACTCGATCCTCCCCCAGCGCTGTCTCCGGGGGAGATCTCGTCATCGAGTACCCCCCCGCCCCGCGGGACCGTCCTGTCAAGGTCCTCGCCACCTGCTTGTCAAGGGGCTCATCAGGCTCAGGCCCCGCAGCACCGAGGAGGGGTACCAGGCAATGTCGCAGCAGGAGCAGGAGGAGGCCGTGGCGGCAGCAATGGAGATGCTGCGGATGCTGCCCGCAATCGGGCTGGTGCCGGGCTCCCCTGGCTCAGCCTTGGGGCCTGGCCCTGCTTCCTTGAGGCGGCTGGCTCTTGCCACCCTGCAATCCCCACGGGACATTGTGCCAGCTGCCGCCTCTGTGATGCGGTGGATGGACGGGCGGCTGTGTTGGATCCTGGCTGAGTAGCAGCTGTCGTCCCTAGGCCTGTCTGTTTGGTTCCCAGCCTGGCCTTGGGCTTCCCCATGGCGTGTACACCACGCTTGGGGGTGTTGTTGAAGGTGGTATTGTCTACACTTGCCTTGTGTATTGCTCCATGTTATAAACGTCTTTATCTCTGTCCTTGCCACACCTCACGCGCGGCCGTAGGCCGCGCAAGCGAGCGGCGGCCGCCGTTTTTGGAGAGTGATATGAACTCACCAGTGAAGAATGAGCCCCATGGGCAAGGAACTAGGGACTTTATACTAGGGAAACACTGCTGAGAATGGCTAAGGACTAAGGACTAGGCTAGGGAGGCTAAAAACGGCTAAGGACTAGTCCCAAGCCATCTCTCTCGCTCTCTCTTGAGCGAGCCGCCGTTTTTGGAGAGTGATATGAACTCACCAGTGAAGAATGAGCCCCATGGGCAAGGAATTAGGGACTTTATACTAGGGAAACAATGCTGAGAATGGCTAAGGACTAAGGACTAGGCTAGGGAGGCTAAAAACGGCTAAGGACTAGTCCCAAGCCATCTCTCTCTCTCTCTCTCTCTCTCTCTCTCTCTCTAATGGTCTGTGTATTGGTGTATCAAGGAATACAAACATGCAGGTTATAGATGCTAGGGATGGGAACAAGCAAACACTGAAACAAAGAGCTAAGCAACTTATCTATTCGCCCATTAATGCCTGTCTACGCCTCCATGAGAGGCTCTAGTACTACACAGCTATCCCCAAGGTGGAATTCTCCCTGCACCCCCCCCACAGGGGGATTTTCTGCTGCTGCCGCCTGACTGGACTTAATAAGGTAACCCACCGACTGTGCTCTCTGCAGAGCACAGGACCACCATTGCCTGAAGAGATGAAGGAACCTAACTGCATGGAATGAGTGTGGTCGGGCGTTGAAGTGCCGCCGAGCAGCCGTTTCCGCCAAGAGCTTCAGAAACTGTGGGACCTCCGCGCATGGGCGTTGAAATGCTGCCGAGCCGCAGTATCCGCGAGTAGCTTTAGAAAGACCGGGACTTCTGCGCATGGGCAGCCATAGGTGTCCACCGCCAGTGGGAAAAAACCCACTGTCTCCGACCGGTTGGCGTAGTGCTTGATTTTCTTATCCGCTTGTTCCCGAGCCGCCCAGCCCCTGCCTTTCTCTGCCTCTCGGTCCCTTGTGCTAATTGGGTTTGTGATGGTGACGTCACACACGTAAACCGCCCCGCTGCTCCTATCTGTCATGGTGAAATCCGCGGTTTGTTCCTCGATAGGGCAGTAAACAGCCGACTCGCTGTGAACGATGAAACCCGCGTGCTGCGCCATGCTAATGCACGCATCCCGCAGCTCGTTGTGGGTATTAATGCGATGCTTGCCCATGTCGCAGCGGAGGAGATGGTTCGGGAGGCGGGGATCTGTGATGGCTGTCTGATCCGCGCAGTCACATTTCTTTGGCGTTGAAAAGGGGAGGCCCAGCCGAAACCGCACGGCGTTCGCGAAGTGCACGGGGCCTATTCGTCTAGTGGCCTCAATTGGGATCGCAGTCAGCCAGTCCCCAATACCGTACCCAGTTAGCGAGAACAAACGCTGCGTGTGGCCCGAGAGCGGGTTCGGCTGCATGTGCCTAGTTGCCTGGACCTGCACAGCGTATCTGCTCCCGTGCACCTTTAAGCCGAGCACGTGCTGGAGCCTAACATCTGATCGCTCTAGCCGCTCCAGGATCTCCCGTGCATCGAGGGGCAGGGCTTCTTCGCACTCTGTGAGCCACGAGTGTAAGGGGGTGCTGCTCTCCCGAGGCGCCAGCATGTGGTTCTTAGCCATCGTCAAAGCACCTTCTGGTTCTAGCGCGAGGGAGGAAAGAAAAAGCGCCGCTTGGGTGAAACTCGCTGTGAAACCGTAGATTCCTTCCGTAAGCGGGTCCATGATGCCTATGCCGCCCAGCGACGTCGGCAATGACGCCTGTTCCCAGACCCGCTTTTGCTCGGCACCACATGTTGGTGCGCGGATGTCGCATGAGGTGAGTAAGGTATTGAGCAAGTCCCTGCCCCACTGGCTCCAGGTGGCGCGTGGGAGTAGGTGGAGGGGAGTCGTCCTAATGAGGTAAGCTACACGCCTGGAAATACATCGCGTGAGGAGCAGTTCGGCCACCTGGGGGTCTGCTCGTTCTATCAGCGGTAACGGCCTTGCCATCTCTCCTAACTGGCCCGAAAGGAACCCGGCTGCACCAGCGTCAGTCCCAACGTAGCTACCTAGAAGCCGGACTCCGTCCTTGGAAAACGGCACCCCAGGCGGAAGTTGATGCTGTGTGACTGTGGTTGAGCTCCAAGCCGCGCATTTCTGCGGATTATATGTCAGGCCCAGCTTCGCTAGTCTGGCTGTGAAATACATGAAGGCAGCTACAGTGCGGGATGTGTCACCCAGGAAGGTGACATCATCCGCATACGCCAAGCAGAGGACGTTGGGGTGTGCTTCTGCAGTGTCACGTAGCGTGGGGTGTATCCCTGCTGCAAACAGTAACGGGCCGAGTGGGTCCCCTTGCCGCACGCCCCATTCACTGTGCAGTGGTGCGCAGTTGAATTTCGTGTCCAGGAGTAGTTGCGACGGGTTACCGTAGGTCAATTTCACAAACGGCTGTAGTGGCGAGAGTTTGGGGTCGTGTAACGCTGTGGCGATGGCATGTCGCGAGATGCTGTTGAAAGCGTTTGAAATATCCGCTTGTAAGACCAGGCTGTTGGGGCGGGCATCCAGGAATGCCCTGGCTGTGTGGATTACCGTCTCTGCTCCACCTGGCACTGCCACACCATACTAAAGCGGCAGGAAATATTCACGGGCAGCTTCTCCCATGGCTGTCAGGGCTGGCTTGGCTGTCAACCTTGTCAAACACTCGCCTATCGCTATTGGCTGGGCCCCTCCCCCAGGCTTGGCCAGGGCAATCAGCCGCGACGCCGTCAGGAGGTTTGCGACCGGGCCTGGCAAATTTCCCCCCCAGCAGAGTGTTGACCAAGGCGTGCAGATGGGTGCTAATCATGGCGTTAGTGGTGGCCGCGTCGCGCATGTGTTTAAATGTTGTTCCCGACGGTCCGGCTCCCACTCCGTTCTCGCATCTTCCTAGAATTTTGGCGAACTCAGCATGGGTGATGGACAGTTTCGACTCGGGTGGCACAGGCCAGGTCACCGCCTCCTGTACAGCAGGTGGGTGTTTCTGGCGAAGCTCCTCCAATATTTCCGGGCTGGGGGTGCAGACCGGCGTTGACTCCAGTGCCAGCACGGCTCGGCGTAGACTCCCCTGTTTCGCGAGCCCCTCAGCTCGGCTGATGACTCCGGTCGCGTCAAGCTGGTGTCGTGGCGGTGGGGGTGTATTGACCGCGTCCACCGTGTCCAGGTACAGCTGTTCCCATTCGCCACGCTGGAAAGCTCGGAGCCGGGCCTTGACCCCCGGCCAGTCTGGTCGCTGTGGCGAGGCTTGGCGAAGTGTTAGGCGAGGGAGAAATAGCAGCAGACGCCAGCCCGTTTCGGATTCGGGATTTCGTGAGAGGTGGAGTAACGGTGTCAGAAGCGCCTGCGAAAACAGCTGGCATAGATTTGGCGGTAAACGCCGTGACAGCGGAGGCTGTCGACCGTCGCAGAGAGCTGCCATTACCCAGCATGCGATGGCCGCGAACAAGTCATCACATCTCGCCAGCTCGTCTGGCGAAAAGTAGCGGGGGTTCAGAATGGTTTGGCGCGTCGCGGTGTTGGCAGCGGCGGTTCGATTTCGTCGACCGCGGCTCGCCCGTGTTGGTGCGTCGGTGGTTTGATTGCCCCCCGTCCGATCAGCATCTGACGGTCGCTGATCCGCTTGCGGTATTCGCATGGTCGAGCGGCCCACCTTGTTTGCTCGTCTCCCTTCTGCCTCTCTCACCCTGCCTTCTCCCTCCGATTCCTCGTCCTCGCTTGGTGGGAGGGATTCTTCCCTATAAGATGGGTCCCTTGGATCTTCTTCTTCATTAGTTGCTGCTAACGCCGTTAAAGCCCTTCTCGCCGCCACCTGATACCCATTCTCTGGTCCTCCGCCCGTTCCACTTACGGCTTCTCTCCTCGCCCCACGGCTTCCCTGCTCTCGAGATGGTGATTGCCGGAGCACCTGAGCCGTCGCCAGGGCTCGCTGCCGCCTGGTCGGCTGTGGTCGCCAGGCCTCCGGCAGGGCCCGAAAGGGTGACCATGGCGACGGAGCCCCCTCTACCGCCGGCTCCGAAGCACGTGACAGCAGTCTCTGAAAAGACTCCTCCCCACGCACCCGCGGCTCCCCTTGCCGGGGCAGGGGCTGGCCCGACCGCTCCCGCTGCTGTTCCGTCTGCTCCGCCTGCGTCACCAGGCTCCCTGGCTCCCCTTGTCGAGCCGTCGGCCTCTGCCCCTGCTGGGGGTGTTGCTGAACCCCCTGCACCTGTCCCTGGCGCCCCTGTTGCGCCGAACGCTTCTGTCCCCTGCCTGCCTGCGCAGGCCTCTGCTTCGTCACCAAAGGCGGCGTCCGCCACCACTGGCGAACCGGCTCCGTCGGTTGCGCCTGCGGCGGCGGGTCGGTCCGCACCCGCTGTGACGGCGGTGGTTCCTGCAGGCCAACCGTCTCGTCCCCCGTCGCCAGACCGCCGCCTATCTCGCCCCCATTCTCCCGCGCCCCAGCAGGAGCGCGAGTCGTCGCGGCGCCGGCGCAACTCTTCCCGGCGCTACCAGCGGCAGGCCCAATGGCCTGCTCACCCCGGTGGCAATGCGGGCTGGGGGGGTCCCCGCGGGCGTGGTGGTGGCGGGGGATACCGTCCGCCTGTGACAATGGCGGATCTTCAGCGGGAGGTGTCGAGGGCCGTGCGCGAGGAGAGGGCGGCGCAGAGCCAGAGCAGTTCACTGCGGGCCGCGCCAGCGCACGTGGCTCCTCGCCGGGCTGTGCCTCCCGTGGTCCCTCCACCGGCTGCTGTACTTCCTCCTCCTGTCCTTGCCCCATCGGCTCATGCTCCTGCTGCCTCGACTGCTGATCCTGGGTCTCGACTTCGCCTGCCGCCCGTGCCGCCGGTGGCAGGTGTCGAGTTCGTTCCTGCTGGTGGAGGGGTGGCGGGGGCGCAGTACCCTCCATATCTTGCTCCCGATGAGCCGCTTCCGTTCTTGGCGGTGGCACTTCAGCCCCCGCAGACCCGTGTTCCTGAGGCGACACTCGGCCAGCTGCACTGTCTTGTTGAGAGCCTTCACGCGCTGCTGCTGATCCAGGTGCTGGCTCACTCTTCTCTCCCTGCGATCCCTGCTGATTCGTTTCATGACCGGCCACGCGAGACTTGCCTGGACGCGGTGGACCAGCTCTCGCAGCTGCTGGCGCCCGCGTTGGCTGCGCCCGTAGAGGGTGGCGCTGCGGCAGTGGGACAGCTTGACGAGGCTGTCCGGGGCCTGAGGCGACACTTGCGCGCAGGATCTGGAGCCGCGGCGATCGGCGCAAGTACGCTGGTGGTCCGTGAGCTGTGGCGGACGTTGACGGGCATTCTCCATGCCCTCGGGGCTCACCGGATGTAGATCCGGGCTCCGCTTGTCCCGTTGTTGCCATTGTTGCTTATGCCGTTGTTGATGCCTGTCTAGGTGCTTATTGAAACTTTCATTGTATGTATGTCCTTACTTAGTATCTATTGCGTGTGTTTGTTCTTGCCGCCCCTCACGCGCGGCCGAAGGCCGCACTGTCGAGCGTTGGCCGCCGAAGGCGGCCGGCGCGAGCCGCTCGGTTAGGAGAATCAGAAACCGAACAATGAGGAACTAGCTGGCTGGCAGAGCCTTTATACTAAGGAACTTAGGCTGAGAGGCTGAGGGAAGAGGCCTAGATGTCTCTCTCTCTCTCTCTCTCTCTCTCTCTCTCTCTCTCTCTCTCTCTCTCTCTCTCTCTCTCTCCCGCTCGGTTAGGAGAATCAGAAACCGAACAATGAGGAACTAGCTGGCTGGCAGAGCCTTTATACTAGGGAACTAAGGCTGAGAGGCTGAGGGAAGAGGCCTAGATGCCTCTCTCTCTCTCTCTTGCTCTCTCTCCCGCTCGGTTAGGAGAATCAGAAACCGAACAATGAGGAACTAGCTGGCTGGCAGAGCCTTTATACTAAGGAACTAAGGCTGAGAGGCTGAGGGAAGAGGCCTAGATGCCTCTCTCTCTCTCTCTCACTCTCTCTCCCGCTTGGTTAGGAGAATCAGAAACCGAACAATGAGGAACTAGCTGGCTGGCAGAGCCTTTATACTAAGGAACTAAGGCTGAGAGGCTGAGGGAAGAGGCCTAGATGCCTCTCTCTCTCTCTCTCTCGCTCTCTCTCCCGCTCGGTTAGGAGAATCAGAAACCGAACAATGAGGAACTAGCTGGCTGGCAGAGCCTTTATACTAAGGAACTAAGGCTGAGAGGCTGAGGGAAGAGGCCTAGATGCCTCTCTCTCTCTCTCTCGCTTTCTCTCCCGCTCGGTTAGGAGAATCAGAAACCGAACAATGAGGAACTAGCTGGCTCGCAGAGCCTTTATTCTAAGGAACTAAGGCTGAGAGGCTGAGGGAAGAGGCCTAGAAGCCTCTCTCTCTCTCTCTCTCTCTCTCTCTCTCTCTCTCTCTCTCTCTATCTCTCTCTCTCTCTCGTTCTCTCTCTCTCTCGTTCTCTCTTTTCCGTTTTGTCTCTCTCGTTCTCTCATTCTCGTTCTCTCGTTCTCGTTCTCTCGTTCTCTCTCCTTCGTTCTCTCTCTCACGTTCTCTCTCTCTCGTTCTCTCTCTCTCTTGTTCTATCTCTCTCGTTCTCTCTTTCTCATTCCTTCTCTCTCTCGTTCGTTCTCTCTCGTTCGTCTTCTCTCTCTCTCTCTCTCTCTCTCTCTCTCTCTCTCTCTCTCTCTCTCTCGTTCTCTCTCTCTCGTTCTCTCTTTTCCGTTCTGTCTCTCTCGTTCTCTCATTCTCGTTCTCTCGTTCTCGTTCTCTCGTTCTCTCTCCTTCGTTCTCTCTCTCATGTTCTCTCTCTCTCGTTCTCTCTCTCTCTTGTTCTATCTCTCTCGTTCTCTCTTTCTCATTCCTTCTCTCTCTCGTTCGTTCTCTCTCGTTCGTCTTCTCTCTCTCTCTCTCTCTCTCTCTCTCTCTCTCTCTCTCTCTCTCTCTCTCTCTCTCTCTCTCTCTCTCTCTCTCTCTCTCGTCCTTTCTCCCTATTTTTTAATACATTCTTCTTATTTTCTCTGCTTCTTCCTTTCGGTTGATTTTCTTTCACTGTATTCGCTCTTTATCTCTTCTACACGTTCCTTTCTTCGTCTTGTGTGTCAGAATCACGAACGAGAATGAATGAACTATGAAACAGTTAGGTACAAGTACTAACCCTAATTGGGTTGTACCCCTTATGGGCTACCCTACTATAGCCTACACAAATATAACCACTATAACATTCTGACACACCCCCATAGGCAAAGTGGGGGAGAACAAGTGGTCACAAGACCAGTCAAGAAAATCAAAGCAAGCTCAGGGTGGATCACAAAGTCACCACACAGTCCGACCACAAGGCCTGTTCACATGCAGAGTTATATAGAAGAGAACAAACAATACAGTGATCATACCCTAGCAAGTGTAAGCATGCAGGTATATATATAGATCACAGTACAAGCAAGGTCATGCAGTGAACAAGTAAGGCAAACTAGGCACAAGGTCTAACACAGTAGAGAAGCGCTGATGATCACCAGACGGAAGTGCCTTGGTGAATATATCAGAAGTGTTGGCCCTAGTGGTCACATACACAAGACGAAGCTCGCCACGCTGCTGCAAATCTCGAGCAAGGAAGTATCGCAGAGCGATGTGCTTGGTTCTGTGCTCCAGTCTGTGCTCTTGAAACAAGGCAATCATGGCCTTGTTGTCTACGTAAAGAACTGGAGGCGAACGAGGCTGCTCTTCTAAGTCAGTCAGCAGGTAGGTGAGCCAGCATTGCTCCTGTGCAGCCATGGCCCCGGCGTAGATCTCAGCCTCACAACTGGAGCTGAGAACCGAAGACGAGCGGGTAGACCGCCAGGAAACAGAGCCAGAACCGAGACAACCGCTGCGTAGCTGAGTCGTCAACCCAAGAAGCGTCTGCGTGACCAGTGAGGACAAGTGGACCCCGTCCTTCAAGCACGAGCCCCATGCCCGACGTACTACACAAGTATCGCAGTACCCTCTTCGCAGCATCCCAGTGCACCTTTTGGTGCCTGCCGGGAGCCACGTAGCGAGCCAGAAGGCTGAGAGGGTACGCGATTTCAGGTCGTTTGCAGGTTATCAGGTACATGAGGTAACCCACAAGCTTTGGGTACGGACCACTCGGCTCTACGGACTCGTCTGAAGGTGGAGCTGAGAGTGAGTGACCGGTAGACAGAGGAGTGGGCTATGACGAGGAGAACTGGAAGCCAAAGCGCTGAAGGACCTGGTGCACCATGTGTGACTGAGTCAGTGTGATGGTGCGCCGTGATGCGTCCTGGGTGATCTGCAAGGCAAGATAGCTGCGCAGTTCACCCATGTCAGTGCAAGTGTGTCTCTTCTGTAGCTCCGACTTCAGAAGGGCCAGTGCCTCAGTGTCAGCAGTGGCAAAGACCAAGTCGTCGACGTACATGAGAACGTAGAACGGCGGCAGCGAAGTGTCGGTGCGTAGAAACAGCGACGGGTCAGCAGTAGAAGGGGCAAACCCAAGAGCCGCAAGCATCGTTCTCAGTGTGTCATGCCACTCGTGAGGTGCCTGGTGGAGACCGTAGACTGGCCGCCGGAGGCTCCACTGGGTACCTGCAGGAAATGACCCGGTGAAGCCAGGTGGGCGGCACAGCCAGATCTCCTCGTGCAGGCTGCCCTGCAAGAAAGCTCTGGTGAAGTCAAGAGAGTGCAGCTCGTAGTCACGCTGGGCAGCGACGTGCAGCAACACCCAAAGAGTGGTCATCTTCAAGGTGGGGGAGAAGGTCTGGAAGTAGTCAACCCCTTGTTGCTGACTGAAGCCACTAGCAACGTAACACGCCTTGAAGGCAGGCGGAGAACCCGGCGGCCGCTTCACCCTGAAAATCCACATGCCATCAACTATGTTCACCCCACGAGGAGGAACCTCGTCGACGTAGGTGCCTGTGGACTTCCATAATGCCATCTCGGCATCCATGGCTGCCTGCCACTGAGAGAAGTAAGGACCCGTAGTCGCCTCTGCGTAAGAGCGCGGGGTCGGGATGTCTTTTGGATCCGGGTCTCCCTCAGGGGCAAGCAGTATGGAAGCGAAACAAGGTACAGCAGCTGCAAGACACTCAAAGTCCTCCTGCCTGTCCTTAAGGACGTCCGTGCCAAGAGCACCCTCATCCCCGACGGACGGAGGACTGGCAGACTCAGACTTAGTAACAAGAGCTGTGGCGTAGTCTAGACGACAGGCAGCAGCAAAGTCAACTAGCTCAGCAACGAGGGCAGACGCAGCAGTGGACTCAAAAGAAGGGTCAGTGACAACAGTGGCGAGGAGACGAGAGACAGTGGGACTGGCAGCACGAGAGCAGTCAGACGCAGGGTCAGGGGCCTCAAAAAGAGAGGACTCAGGAGGAGGCGGCAGAGGAACACACAGTGGAACAGAGGAAGGACGAAGTGCCATAGCGTGCGTGCCAGGGACAGGAGGAGGACGTGAACGAGGAACACGGCGAGCAGTGCGAACAGGCGAGATAGGACAAGACGCAGGCTCACGACGCTCTGTAAGACCGCCTGACTGCTCAGCGTAAGGAGAACAAGCAGGGAGCGGGGAGGCCGGCTGTAACGGTGGCTGCGACAGGTCAGTCGACGGACACAGGAAAGGAGGAGGAAGGCTAGCAGAAGACTGGACACCAAGAACCTGCTGAAGCAGGGGAACGAAGTACGGTCGCAGCCGCACAGTGCTTCCAGCACCTCCGGCTCCAGGGTCAACAGCTCCAGCTTTTCCAGCTCGAGCGCCTCCCGCGCCAGTGCCTCCAGCACCAGTGCCAACAACTCCAGCTCCTCCAGCGTCAGTGCCTCCAGCACCAGCACCAACAGCTCCAGCTCCTCCAGCTCCAGCAGCTCTAGGCTCCGAAGTGAACTTGTGAGACAACTTTGTGATTGACTTAAGTTTCCATTTAAGCATACCCCCTAGTGCGCCGAAATTCATAACTCAAGCTATACTTCATATTTTGATACTATTCATATTGGGAAAGATAGCCACGGTCAAGGGCTACAACATACTCAAGTTGAGAGAATTCTGACAGAGCGTTTTTTTGTCGACGACGTTTCTTGTGACGAGGACGTTTCTGTCCAGAATTATAGTTGACGATTTTGAGATATTTCGGCCCTTAATCTTCATAGACTCCGTCCTTAGTCTCTAACAAGTGGTATCAGAGCTGATTAAGGACCTTTTGGAGAGTCTACTGAAGTGTGAAGATCCTCCTAGACCCACCATGGCCTGTGGGCGTGCCTAAGTGGAGTTCTGGAGGTTGCATGTGACTTCCGCTAAGGGGAAACTCTTCCGAAATTTCGTTGGCGCCGACACTTGTGGAAATTGAGTGGGACTTCGGTGTGGACAGCAAAGGGGGAGCTGG